GATATGTGATAACCTATGGCATCCAATAGAAATGCTTCAACACAGTGATATATAATAAATGCATGATTAAAAGCTAAGAGGTTAAGAGAAATACAGAAATCACACACATACACTTAACAAAACAAGGAGGAAGTAATTATAGCTTAATAATATTCCATCATATGGTCATTACTGGTATCTGTATCTTCTACTCTGTGTTCCCATTTCCTCTGAGAAGCAACCTAAAGGTAGGTCAGTTAGCACCAGAACTTATGTCATTTTTATATGATCAAGTCTCTGTGCATAGTGACAGGTTTCATAAAGATCATTTTTTTTCATCTATAACAAGTACTTTAACCATGTGTAGCCACATGCATTTTAATTATATAATATATACAATTGTTATGATTATGTAACATATAGAAAATGTGTGTGTGTATGTGTGTGTGTGTGTGGTGGTGGTGGTGGTGGTGGGTGGTAGTGTTTGTCTCTGCAAATACTAGTGCCGACAGAGTAATGATCAGTGTTAGGCAAGAAGGAAATCCAGTTCAGCACGACTCAGTAGCTGCTGTTGGTTGTAGAATCTGACTCCAGCAAGTTTATTTTAGGCATATTGAAGCACAGCACAATTTTGGAAAAAAAGTTTCCCGATCACAATTAACTCAGTCCGTGTGTTCAACGAAGCTTAAGATATGAAACATTGAAACTTTTCAAAGTACATCTGACCACTTCCATAAAGATGGATTCTATTTACTGAGAATGCTCAAGATGAGGATCTAAGGAGAATGACTAGAGATAAAGGTCTGTGTAGCCTGGACCAGATAGCAAAGAGGTCTCCTAGACTGCTGTAAAGTAAGTGTGACTTCACCCATAAACATTTTTTTAAATTTATTATTTTTTAATTAAATGTTTATTTTTTTATATTAGTTACAGTGTATTTACTTTGTCTCTCAGTTGTAGCCCCCTCCCTCATTCCCTCCCAGTCCCATCCTCCCTCCTTCATCTCCTTCCTACCCCTCTCCAAGTCCACTGATAGGGGAGGTCCTCCTCCCCTTCCTTCTGACCCTAGCTTATCAGGTCAGGTTGCATTGTCTTCCTCTGTGGCCTGGTAAGGCTGCTCCTACCTTGTGGGGGGTAGGGGGAGAGCAAAGAGACAGCTATTGAGTTCATATCAGAAACAGTCCCTGATAAACACGGTTTTCATTAACTGAGAAACAATGCTCAAGATGCCGGTCTAGGGAGGAGAAGTCTGAAATTAACATAATAGCCTAAGAGAGTCAGGGGTGGCCTAGCACCACAGATAAGTACAGGTCCCCAGGCTGCTAACTATAACCATTCATAGGCTTCAGGGAGGAAAATACACCACACATCTTGTTTTGTTAAATAGACAGCCCTGTGAGTTCAGCATTTCTAGTTTCCCTCGTGCTTGCCTGTGAGCACAAGGACCTCTACAGAAGGAGAATGGAAAATGTATCCTGCAGTTGGTTTGCCAGGAGCTATTCTTCCTCATTAACCTGTAGCTTAAGGTTTCAGGGTTAAAAAGTAGGAAGCAGGCAAGCAAGCATGAATAAATGAGCACTGTTTAGAATTCACTCAGTTTTCTTCTGGGGATTTCTATGCAAAAGGGGATGTTTCCTGAGCAGAGAACAGATAAACATTACAAGTGTTTGACGCAGCTGTTTTATTGGACAAATCTGGATACACAGCCATGTCAGACCCTCTCAAATTGGCTGCTTCAGTTGAATAGACAGGATCCTCGCATTCCAGACATAATCAGTCCTATGCACAGGAATTCTATTCTTGCTATCCTGCTGGACCATTCCAGGAGTATAATACCAGTAGCTTGTCTTTGTTACTTTGTGGGTTCTTCTTTTTCCTATCCTTTGTTCCCCTGGTATCACCCTGTGTCGCTAGATAGGAGAAAAAGAAGGAGAGAGAGGAGAGAGAGAGAGACATTTCTGAATCTAATTCCTTTCCTCCTTGAGCACAATTGCTAAGAAACTTCAGCCACCTGAATCAACAACTACCCACGCTGCCCTTTGGGGCTCTAGCATTTATATACCCTCTGAAGAGTTCCCAGAATTTCAAATGTCACACATTGCTGAAACTCTTTCCAGCTGGCAAAACCACACCTCCGCTAGAGCACGAGGCAAATCATAGTCAGCTGCTGCTGACAGGAAAGCAGCCCCTAGCCCCACACCTGGGATTAAAATGAAAACATATCTTTGTAATATTTCTGCTATTTTTTTTTAAACCAAAATTCCAGAATTCTCACTACAAATACCAACGCTGCGAACTGGGTCGACAGCTTCCTTCAGATGTGTAGATTGTGAAGGCTGTAGTGAGTTTTTAGCGTTGCTTCCTGTTGAGGGTCTGAGGTTCATGGCACTTCTTCCTGAATTTCTGCCCCATTGAATGTACTCGCCAGAGGTTCTTAGGAAAATGTGTCACCATCATGGGCTGGACCACAGCTTTCAAAGTCCTTCTGATAAACAACGTGTGGATGATGATCAAGCCCCAAGGCTAGGCTAGATGGGAGAAGACAAGTCCAGACTGGGCCATGCAGTTCTAGTACCAAAATCAGGCCTTCTCTAGAACTTTTTTCAACTATGGTTAGTACAGTGTTTTTCTTTGTTTTGTTTTCCTTCCCTCACTATAGTATCAAAGCTGTTGTTAACTTGTCCCTTCTTGTGTATCATTTCAATTTCTTTTTTTAGAAAGGAATTTGACTGTTCCACATTGTTTAGATACAGTGTCATAAACTCAACCTTCTCCCCAGATTCCCTTCTTGCCTGCCAAGCAAGTGCAAGCCCTTACAAAGGGGCAAACTGTGTCTTGTTGTGTTACTGACAGCTTCCCATTCTTCTTTATATATGTCTTGGCAAGTATGCCAAATTTGACTCCCAAATCAGGGGTTTCACTTTCTTTCCTCTTCCCTCTTTCCTGTTTTTCCCTACAGCATCTCACATCTTCCTGGCAATTCCATCTTCATTTAAGCTCTATCTGTCTAAAATAGATGCCTGTGTTTGAAAACTTTATTTTAGAGACATTTTCTTTCTTCTGGAAGTTAATTGTAAGCTGCTTAAGTGCAAATTAGCTTCTTGATAATTGTTTCTCTTCATTGTACAACAGATACAATTATATTATAGATCATCTATAACTTCATTTACTTAGAAGGAATTGACTATAAAAACTATGTTGATAAGGCATTTATGTATTTTCTGTTTTCTAAGCCCTACTTTTTATGACATGTGGATTTCCTTCATCTGTGTTCTACTTAAACTCACTGCCTATTTTTAATATTAGGTTTCCTGTAGCTATTAGTGATATTATATTATAAAGCCGAAAAACTGCTCTTCTATGAACTATAAAAATACGCATGTGAAACTTTATTGCAGCTATACATATTATTGCATATTTAGAACTATATATATACTATATACATATATAGACCTATATATAACATATAATATATTATATATAATATAAATATAATATATAAATATATAAGATATATAAAGATATTTTTATATAATATAAATATAATATATATAATACTATATATACTACATACATATTTAGAACTATATATAAAATAGTATATATAATATTATAATACTATATATATTATATAGATTATATAGAACTATAAAATATAGTTCTATAGAGAGCCTTATAGAATTCTATATACATATAGAATTCTCTATATAATATATAATGTATATATAATTCTATATACATGTATATATTTGTAAATTTATACATATGCACATATAAAAACATTTATATGTGTATATACTTATATATACATATAATATTTATATAAATATGCATGTATATAGAACTATATTATATAAAGCTCGCTCTATATAAAGCTATATATTATCTGGAATAGAGAATTCTTTCTTTATAAGTGAGCCATTTGGGCACTTGGGCATGGTGGTGGCATTCCTGGCCACTAACCATCACACTCCAGTACCACCCTTCTCATAATTGTGTAAAATAGACAAATGACTCCAGACCTTGACAAATAGCCATAGAGTAGATGACCGTGTCCTGTTCGACACATATAGAAGTTATTGTTCAGGATTCCAAGTTATTCTTTTTGGCAGGATACTTTGGTGCTAGAAATAGTCATTCACATCCTTTGTTTTGGTTTTCCATTAAGGCCCTTTTCCATGAACTCGCCAAAATCTTCAAATAACTAACTCTAGTCATTCGTGATTTCATCTCACATATTTTACATGTCAAGTTTGAATGGTTAGTGTTCTATGTTAACTTTTTCCAGGGAGCCAGGAGCAGCTCCGCCAAAGTCCAATCTGAGGTTTTTGACATGACTTGTGTGTGAAAGGTCGCATAGAGGAGTATGGATGTCTCTTAGGCAACTGCATCATGAAAAATCAGATCATTCTGGTTGGTTTATAACTCACAAAAGATGTATTCCTTACAGCTCTCAGCACAACTTGGAGTCAGCTCAAATGTCAGGAGAGCCTCCTCTTCATAGCAGTTGATTTCTGCTCCTGGGATCTTGGGGAGGGGTCTTGTGTATGTTGTATAGTTCTCTGATAAGCGAGGTTCGTTTATTTCCTGGGGCTTCTGAGTTTCCCTTTTCCCTCTAGATGGGAATGTTTTAGTTTGGGGAAAAGTGCCACGGAGCCAAAAGAGAAATTGTCTGCCACCTCTGTTCACCCTCAAAAATAGTAGATATAAAGTCTCACATACTTCACTGGTACAGCTCTAAAAAATAACAGTCATACTTTAAGGTTCATGGATACGAGAGTTGAAATGTCAACCTAGAGAGAGAGTAATTCCAAAATGATTGGTCATTCCATTTTCCTGTGCAGTAAAAAAAATATTTGGCTCACTCCTGTTTCTGGAACTTCTGGACATCCTGATTCCTCAGAGCCTCAGGCTGGCTGCCCAGTCCTACCCACCACCCACCTACGCAGATGCAGGCTCAGCCTTCTTTATCTTCTGAAGTCACCAGAATCTAAGCAGCCAGGTGGACCTGCTGTGACCCCATGGCTACCGGTAGTACCACCTATGATGTGCCGCCTGGATTGGAATATTTAATTCACGTAAGTTCAAATGAACAAAAAGTTCATAAACAAGACCATGCTTCTAGTTTACTTATGGGTATGTAATCACTGTTCCTTCATAAAAGTTAGAGATAGTAAATATTCATATATGTTTGTGTGTGTGTGTGTGTGTGTGTGTGTGTGTGTGTGTGTGTGTAAGTATTGACAAAGGGTACTTTCGGTGCCACAGGCTGGCCTGGAATTTCTTACTGTTTACCTCAGTATCCCAAGGGTTGAGATTATTACAAAACATCATAAATGAATCACTCTGATTCTTATGGATTTATTTCTAAAGTAAGGTTTGAATGTCTTAGGAAATTGTATTTTCTATTACCTTGGAGGTGATTTATGATAATGGTCAAACACTAGTATATATTTAGAACACATTTCTAGGCTTTGTTATAAACACAATATATAATATAGTCTTCAATTATTTATTATTTGACAGGTTCATTCATGTCTACAATAAAATTCTAGTCACATTAACCCACCTACTTCTCTTCTCTCACACCTGTACCCACAAGTATTTCCCACCACCCAAGGCTTCATCCCATTTTTTTTGTCTTTGTGTGTGTGAATTTGTGTGTGTGTGTGTGTGTGTATGTTTTTGATTATTTGTTTGCTTGTTTGAAATCCACTGAATTTAAAAAAAGGGGGGAGCTATCCTTGGGCATGAGTATTGCACTATCCACAGGAGCATAGGTAAGTTACTGGTGCCTAAATCACTAAAGAAATGACTTCTTTGCCCCCGGCAGCCTTGGGGGCAGGAGCACTGAGCCCTGTGAGCCTCTCTATTGACCCTATGCAGGGGAACACAGCTGCTATGAGTTCATACCTGGATGACAGTATTTCATAGGCCTCTTCTCATCTTCTGGCTCATTCTGCTCCATCTTTTGTGAAGTTCCCTGAGCCTGGGAGTGGGCGATATGGGGATAGGGGGATTCTGGTTAAGACTAAGCACTCAACAACCACTTGTTCTCAGCACGTTGGCCATTAATTCGTCTGCATTAATTCAACACTCACTGCAAAGAGAAGCATCTTTGATCAAGACTGAGGGCGGCACTAGTCTGTGGGTATAAGTGTAAACGTTTTGGAAGCAGTTTCCTGATATGTCTATTTAGTAAAGGACTAGATTCATCTCCAGTGCCTTTGACTTTCCCAACCACAAGACTTTGACCAGGTCCCCGGTTCAAGGCATGAATTTCCTCCTGTCAGGCCTCAGATCAGTCATTTGCCTGCTTAAGAGTTGTGCCACTATTTCAGCAGTAGGGACATCTTGCCTGACAAGTTGGTTTTATATTGTATACAAGGTCTGAAGCTCACAAACTGTTTGAAATCCAGCAGCAGGAAGGAAGTTTTCCTGTTAAATTGAATTCTGCAACCAAAGTGTGTAGGGGCTTCAGCAAGAGACTTACCATCTGCTTCTGGTGGGCAATCAATGGCAAGGGCTGTAACCTGTTTGGGGAGCTTCTGGGATCTTCTTCAATAATTCCTAGGGAGATTATTTGACATTGGTCACTTGGATTTTAATCTCATACTGTATAACTTCTGGGATAAGCATGATCTACTCATGCATGGTATATCCCTTCTACACTTTAAAATTATGAAACTTATAAAGCAGTAAGTTTTGGTGTGCATTCTTCATATAGCCTTAATCTTTGTTTACACTTTCTGTGTTGTTCTCTGTGTTTCTCCCCAATCACTCACTCCTTGCAACTTCCAGTATTCCCTCAGTTTTCAAATCACATGTATGCTACCTTCCTCAGTTTTTGTAAGGCCTTTTCAGCACTCTCAGCCCTTCCATGCCTCTTCTTCCTTTGGGGTTTCTACACACATTACAATTTAAATAAACACATCTAAAGTTTCAAACCCAGCTTGGCACTGTGGCACACGCCTGTAATCCCAGCACTCAGGGAGGCAGAGGCAGGTGGCTCTCTGTGAGTTCGAGGCCAGCCTGGTCTACAATGTGAGTCTAGGACAGCTAAGGCTACACAGAGAAATACTGTCTCAAAAAAAAAAAAAAAACCCAAAAACCCCAAAAATAAATAAATAAAAATTCAAATCTATCTGCATGTGGGAGAGAACATATGGTGTTTGATTTTTCAAAGTTAGAGTTTACTTTAGTCACTATAATATTTTCCAGTTCCATCAATTCACCTCCAAATTTTATTATTTCAAACTTTCTTTACAGATGGATAAATGGATAAAATTCTACTGTGTGTGTATATACTGCATTTTCATGATGCGGTTATCAGTTGATGGACATATAGGCTGGTTCTATTTCTTACCTATTTTGAATAGAGCCGCCATGACCATGTGTGTGCAGGCATCTCTTCAGTAAGCTTTAGAGAGTCCTTGAATATATGTCCATAAGGGACAGAGTTGGGACAAACGCAAGTTTTCTTTCCAATCTTTTGCAGAAGCTTCAGGTTGATTTTCATTGTGTCTGCATTAATTTACAACCCTGATGAGAGTGTGAGTCAGAGAACATAGACCTGGTGCTCTCCAAGTGCATACAGGCTTGGTGAGGAATTTCTAACTAGGACTCCAGTAGCACAGAAAAATAAGACTGGCAATCAAGCAATGGTCTCTCATGAAACTAAATCTTCTTAACACAAACAAACTGTTAAATGAGTGGAGAGGCAGCCCCAGGAACGGAAGAAAGCCTTTGCTACTTACACGTATGATAAATGATTAGTGTCTGGAGTAAAGAAAGAACCCAAAGAACCTAATTTGCAAGAAAACAAAGCACCCAACAGAAAATGAGGCTATGGAATTGAACAGAGAGCTTTCAGAAGGGAGAAATACACTTGGTTAGTAAACACCTTTCAAAGTGTTCACTATCCTTGGATATAAAATGTAGATTAAAAATATTTTTTTTATTCTATCTCACCCTGTGCTGTTATCAAGAAGACAATTGACAACAAAATCTGGCATGGGTGTGGAGAAAGGTAGAATATTTATTCAAAATACATGCTATTTTTTACCAAACCTTTATGATATATAACTATTATAATTATAACCATTTACACACGAAGAATCTATGGTCCATATAGTACACCTTAGTGACTCAGAGTTATAAGCCTATGAAAGCACACCTGCCCTCTTAAAGCTTATACTTGATTCTTTATCCTGTACTCCATTTTTTGTCTCTCATTTTTTAAATTTTTAATTTTTCACAATTTTTTTCACTAAATATCCCAATTGAATACTCCCTCCCTCAACTCCCCCAATCCCACCCTCCCTCCTTTTCTCCCCTATCCACTTTCTCTAGTCCACTGAAAGGGAGAGTTATCCACCATTGCCATCTGCTCATAGCTTGTTAAGTCTCTTCAGGACTGCCTAGATTCTCTTCCTCCGTGGCCTGCTAAGGCTGCATCACCAGAGGCAAGAGATCAAAGAGCAGGCAACCGAGTTCATGACAGAGGCAGCCCCTGCTCTCCTCACTCAGAGATCCATGTGGAGACTGAGCTGCCAATCCACCACATCTGAGCAGGGGGTCTAGGTCCTCTCCTTGCATGGTCCTCGGTTCATCCTGTACTCCTTAATCACAATACTGAACACATGTCTTGGTGTTTTAAATAAACATTTAGTAAATCTTAGAGGTCAGATTCAGTAACTTGTACTGAAAAAATAAATTTATATTCTGTGTGTAGCATGATCTGTTTACTTGCAATTAGTAAAGTTATATTTTTATTCATACTACTTTTAGTATTAGACAAATACAATATCCCAAACGCCAACAGTAAGAGAAAAAATATTCTGGGTTTTGTAGCGCTGCATGTAGTTAAACATAGCACTACTAAGTTGAAACTTGCTTTGTTTTATAAATCAGGTAGGCATGCTAAGAGTCTACAGTTCAGTGTTTTCCCCAAAGAGCATCTGGAGTTCAGCAAATGAACTATCTCTTGAACATGTACTTGTTCTTTTTTCTGAAAAACACCTTGAAACTTTTTTTAAGAGTCAAGGTCATAAGGGGCATGATCACCCAATCCTCTGTGCCCAGCACTAAGGAGGCCAGGTCAGGTGGATGGTAAGAGCAAACTTTCATGGGCTATATAAGAAAGCCCTGTCTCAAAAACAACAACAACAACAAAAAACCTACCACACAAAAGCCAAGAAATCATCAAATGTATAGAAGCCCTCAGTTACTACAAGCAATGACACTGACAATAATTTGCAAACATGTAGAAAACCTCTTTAAATGAATAAAAATGTTTTTCTATTTTATAAAAACTTTCCAGAAAGAAATTTGTGTTCTAATTTTTATAGCTATTTCAGGTCAGGCCCAACTGACCCACATTAGTGGTAAGTTCATTCAGTAGATACGTTTTTAATGAAAAAGCTGGGAAATATGGTGTTATTCATAAGTAAACAAATATGAGAGTTTGTTAATAATAAGTGTTGGCAACAACTTATAAATAATATTAAATAATAAAGATATAAATCCAAATTTGTTTGTGTGAAACATCTGAAATTCTTAATTTTCTTTTCACTGTGACAGATAGACCATGTTCTGGTTCAACAGCAGTTTGAGATTGTGGAAGGTTTGTATTTATTCTACTCATCGTATTTGTAGAAAGATGACAAAAATAAAGGCATATTGAACGCCACACATACAGCATTCTTGATGGTGCAGGATGGCAAACTTGATTGCTTACAATGTCTTTCTTCACAGTCTTTAAACAAGTAGTTTTCTCTGGGTACTTTCATTTTTGAAAATGTGTCTTTTGATAAATATTATGATGGCCAGCTGCCTTCGTCATAAACACTAATTTGAAAAAGAACACCCAGAACTTACCTTTGTGTCTTATCACCTTAATGGATTTCTTAGCTGCTTTCTGCCAAGTTGCAACCAGAGTGAGCCTTGCAAAGAAATGCAGACAGTGGTTCAGGTTGCACAGTGAAAGGTCCCTGGGAATTGGGGTGGAGAATCTCTGTGAAATCACTGTTAGAGCCCTGACCATTGGAATTTAGATTTTATAGGGCTCCTCTGCACTCCCTAGCTCAGCACGGAGCCCTGTTGTATTGAAGATGCTGAGCAGAATATAGGCCAGGTGCCTACAAATGGCTCCTCAGGTCCAGGGTCCACAGGTGTAAAACCAAACTGAATATAACATGATAACTGCTGGGGGAGGGAGACAATGGAAAGACGTGTGAACTATACATCTTGTTTCTATCAGAGCATGATAAAAAAAATTACCTGAAACCTTTTAAATTCATGGTCACCTTAAACAGGTGTTTAAGGTTCTAAACGAACATTCTTTTCCATCAGAAGAAATTAGAAGATGCATCGTACAGCACACTTCTGGACTTTATTAAAATACCTTGTATTGCTTATTTCATTAAATTGCTTCTCATGTACATTATTCAATATTGTAATATCTTTGGATTAGGTTTTTCTAAAATAAGTTTTTCCCTGGAAATAAACCCTTTCTCTTTTTAATATTTTATATTTTGAATGTTTATAAATATTCAATTCCACAGTATATATTACTGTGAATTTTAAGTCCCAAAGTCATGTTATATAGTATATAGCCTTTTATTTATAATTTTTCAATGTGTAAATTTCATCGTATTTGTACAGCAAATACACTCACTGTGAAATATTAATCCACATCTGCTGGCTCTTCATTCCTTGATTTAAAAAATAATAATGTCTTTGAAATTTCCTTATTTTCTTAAATGTGATTATTTTTTATATTATAAATAATAAAAAGATGAATATTATTTATTTTCACCACCTGAGTCTATGACCAGCATTTTTACCTTCATCTTATTGGAAAATAAATAGATGCTACAGATAGAACTATATATTGTTTTCTTTTGTTTGTTTTTGCAAGTCTAGAACTCAAATCTTGTGCACACTAAGCAATTATGCTACCACTCAACTATATCTTTAGACTTGGCATAGATGTTTTCATTTTGCTGGTTTTAATTTTCCAAAGAACTGGAAGGAAACTAGAGGCTGTGTAAGCCTGGTTGATCACACTTTATAGGTAAACAAGTACAGACTAAGCTACGTAATTGAACTGCTATTTGAATTATAGATGCTCTCTAAATAAACACTTTTAAATATCAAAATAGTTTTAAAAATCTGTGCAAAAATATTTTTGGTGGGTATGGATACCATGCCAAATTTTAAGAGACTGCTTCTAAGGCTTCTTCAAGTCTCATTGAAGACTCAAAAATGAGTCCACAGTAATAGGACTGGTAGCACATTTTTTTTTCTATTGGCAAATTTGACTATTAATTGACTATCTCTAAATAAGAGAAAATTGCCATCATCAGCTTACGGTGAGATGACATTTGATTATCTGCATTTGACACCTCTCTGTTTTTGTCAGAAAGGAAACGCCAGTGAGGAGTTCACTTGGGATGCCTGTGGCATATCTTGAGGTAGCACTGCAATAGGACAGTCGAAATTTGATCTGAGTTGCCATGCACTTTTCTCACACTAGCTCCCTATCCAGAACCCACCTCCACTCCTCAAGAGTGCATGGGCTCAGTACAATGTTGTTCATCACCTTCCATTTTCCGTCTCTTGCATTTTTTTACATGTGTGCATGAAGAGTAAGTATCCCTGTGGCACAAATATAGTGCAAAAGAAAATATGGTTTATAAAACAAAACCTCAACCCAACTGGTTTTGTATAGTCATTCACATAATTTTTAAAACATCCCCCATTCTTTAGCCTCTCTATAATGCAGGGAAACTATGCTACAGAAGTGGACGTTTGTCCACGCATCTTTCACCACTCTTTCTTAGTTTGTTAGCCTCTCTTCCTTTTCTTTTGCATTTCCTTCCCTCAGACTGGATTATCTAAATATACCTTCTTTTATCCCCCCTCTCCTTGTACTTCTTGGAATATCACCTAAACCTGGCCTATCTAGATATCACATTATCTTAGGATAGGTTGAAGATGTCAATGCACTGTTGATTATGATTGCCTCCCCTCCCCTCTTTAGCCCTTTTAGGTTTTGAAACTGCTAACAAATACAACATCAAGAACAAATTTGGGGAGAATATTTACTATGCCGTAGAACAGTCTAATTTCCTCACACGCTTTTGCTGTGGGGACTATAGGTATTTCTCCATGAGTATCGTTGATAACTCCGGTCGTGAAGTCATATCTCTGGAGCGACCACTCAGATGTGACTCTTGTTTCTTCCCCTGCTGCCTCCAGAAGGTCTGTGAATACTTACCTGCCTACTTTGCAAGATAGTTTATCAAGAATTTTTGCCATGTTACTGATATTTACAAAATGATCCCTGAGCAATATTTTGGTCCTCATTCAACTTAATAGGAAGAAACATAAATAAGCCTATGCTCTTGGCTAATCTCTCCCTTGTGGTTGAGTAAGAGCTTAAATGACAGTTTCACATATTCAAGGGAAGGCATTTTGGCCAAATCTCTTGTCAGAAATGAACATGGTGGGTATAGCCTAAACTAATGGAGCTGTATGTCTCAGGATGTGTTGGAATATTGTTTCTAGAAATGAATGCATTGACAGAAAAATTACGAGAAGGGTATTTACATATATATTTTTATATTCATTTCATGATTTATCTGATGATTTGGACACTGTACTAAGGGACAAACAAACAAACAACAATCTCCCAAATTTTAAATTCCTTTTTTCTTTTCAATAAACACAGTAAGTTGTGTCCACAGTAAACATTCCCCAGATGGAGATTTCCTCAGCTGAAGTCCAGCTGCCTGTTTCATATCACTTCATGGTCTATTCATTGCAAATGTGTCTTTCGGAGCAGAGACCATGGCTTAGAGACTTTGCTGGGAAGGTCGCCTTTGCCTGAATTTCATTAGCCTAGGACCATGTCTACCTGCATACCACAGTGATTCTGTAAATAATGTCCGTAAAGTGTGTCTCAAACAGAGATACCAGGAAAACAGTTATTTGAGGTTTAAGACCACACTTAACTGTACTTTGAAGGAGTAAATTTATAAAGAATTACTTTGTTTTTCCATGTCCTTCAGGCTAGCTATCATCTTACAGGCATAGCAACACCTGAGGAGAATGTGTTTGATGAGGAAATTGCTGCAATCAAGGACATGGTCATGAAGCTTGATCATCAGAAATAACTCCACATGAGCCTCCTAGTAAATAAATAACAGGGTCATGAATCTAACCCTCAAAGTCCTTTTCTTATACAATATCAGGACTAATAGTTGAAAATTCACCATGGTTAGAGTTCTCTCCATATAGATGAGATACTGTCTATAATCAAGTTTAAGAAAAATGTTTGTAAATAATTTAGACAGTATATATATATATATATATATATATATATATATATATATATATATATCAGTGGGGATATAGCATGCAAGCTGTCAAGAGTTCAATTGATCCCTTCTGTTGTATTAGCTGAGCAAGCTGTTTCAGGTTAATTCACCTTTTTTTTTTTTTTTTTTTTTTTTGGTGCAGTTACCTCCTCCATAAACTAAGAAAAGAAATAGCATTGATCTAATTAAGGGGTGTTGTGGATTGGAGCATTGTCTGTCATTCTTATAAACGAAGCCACAAATATATAACATGATGATAAGCATATTTACCGATGTTTTGTTTTGTTTTGTTTTTTATTTGTAGATAGAAGTCCAAGCTCCTCCTGGTGTGCCAATAGGTTATGTTATTCAGACCTGGCACCCATGTAAGCCAAAGTTTATAGTTCAAAATAAGAAGAAGCAGGCTGTTCTAAAAATTATTGGTCCATGTATGCCGAGCAGTTGTGGAGGAAACGTTGATTTCGAGGTAGCAGATGTGATTGTGGTTATTGGATTTTCTTTTCTTATAAATAGAACATATTTTGCAAGAAACTACACACCCGTAGTGGAGATTTTTGTGCAGATATTTCAAAAGGGAAATGGCATGGTCAAAGAAATATTGTGTGGTCCAATGAAAGGTCAGTGCATATAATGTTAAAGGAGAGCAAGGTGCAGTCATCTTAAAACATTCACAACTTCTGTATTGACTACTCTTCACCATGCTCTGACCAATGCCAGATGAGAAGCGATTTAAGAAAAAAGGGTTTGTTTTGCCTCCTCGTTTCAGGTACAGTGCTCCTCAGGCAGTGCACACTCATGGTACACAGACCTACACATACCTGTATACAAAGAAAAATAAGTGAATCTTTTCTTTTTTTAAGAAAAAAGTTAGTACAGGCCTAGTGCCTACTGTCCCATCATGCTTCACTGCAATCTCCTTGTTATTCTTATATTGAATTAGTTCAATGGGAAACATGTTTCTATGTTTTACTTTTGGAGAACTTCTTTTTAAAGCTAAGGGAATGTTTGTTATTTAACTCACTGATCATAAATCTGATTTAAAACTTATGCTTATATTTCCACAGAAGGGGCAAAAATACTCTAAAGCTGATGAGGGTTATCCCTTCCTGAGAGGCTTTTGGGACTCTGTCTCCATCCTTATGAATTCTTATCTCCAGGCTCACTCTGTCACATTGCTTGCTGCTCTTCCTAACCATGCAGCTCTTCATTCCTCTCTTAGAGTCCAGTTACATGTACAAAAAACCTGGCCTCCATTAACCTATAGATCTAGTCACAGACATGGCCAGTACTAGAAAATACAGGTGATGCAGGCACAAGCGATCTTATAAAGCATGTATGTGTAATATTCTGAGTACGTATATGACTATTTAATACCTACCATAAGACTTTATATACTGGTATGTGTAAAAATAAATCCAGTACATTAGAAGTCATCTAGGTGTGTGCAAAGCTATTTCTATTTTCAGAAACATTAACAGAACTTAAGCTGACCTACAACTAACAAGTGAAAGGAAACAAATGAAGACACTGGGAAAACATTGTGAAGTTTCCATGCGTGATGCCCAATGCTCTCATTTTGCGCAACAACCTTTCTAATGTTTGGTCACACGAGGGCACAATTTGAATAGAGTATTTGTCTCCTGTTATTCAAATCATGAAAGCAGTTTTACTATTAGTTTTCAGGAACTTTTCAAGCCCTTACCCTGGTTCACTGATATTTTTTTTTTTTCCAATTCAGATCAAATCTCTTGATGAAAGCATAGCGGTTGGCAGGATTTCAAAGCACTGGTCTGGAGTTCTGAAGGAATTCCTGACAGATGTGGACAATTTTGGAGTGCAGTTCCCTTCAGACCTGGACGTACGGATAAAGGCCGTGACGCTCGGAGCCTGCTTCCTCATCGTAAGTCTGTCCCCAACGGATTCTTCTCTCAGGTGGAGTCTCCAGAATGATCTGGAAAGAACTTGGAAATCTCTACACTCAAGATGAAGAGTGAACACAGTCACACTTACTGTATACATGTGTGAAACTCTCAAATGAAAAATACAAAAAGAAAACTAAACAAGGAAAGAATACACTTTTACTTCCCAGGCTTTATGAAGGAGGCGACACTTAGCTCAATCTCTGAGATTCTCTCAGGTCCTTCTTATACTTTGGATCCGCACAGAGACATGGTTCCTATTCAAAGAATCCATGGAATCCAAGAAATGCAAAGATATAAAGCACACGTGTTGTCTTTATTTTGTAATGTGTTTTGGCAATTTTGGAATACATGATGTAGTGGTAGACTGCCAGTTATTGTGCCGTGTGTGAATTGCTAGGGATTATCCTTCATTCATAAACCTTTAGAGCATTTTATACAACTCTTCTTCCCCCAACCCAACCTTCACCCTCAGGCTCAGGTGCTGTAATTCTATTCCCTTTGATTCCAATGATGAGTTTAACATTTTTACACTCCATGTGTGAGATTGTGCTGTACTGTATTTTTCCCCCCTCTGGTTTATTTCAAATAACATAGTGTCTTCCAGTTTAATCCATTTTGTTGTTTACGAAAAAGTTTCATTCTTAGGAATGTATAGTATCTTATTTGTAGTATATATACATACTCCGTTTTCCTTTGCTTGGTTCATATTTAGGTTATTCTTTGGTGTCTTGTTTGTCTTTCTTTTGCTTTGAGAAAGACTCTCACTATGAAGATCAGTGTGGCTTCAAATTCAAAACTTTACTGCTTCCCACTCTTGAGTCCCCTGAGTTTTCTTAATTTGAAGAGTAGCCTTAGTTTTATTACTGAAAATTAAATTTATCATTATTTTTTTCTTCTCTAGGATTTTATGTTTTTTGAAACTGGTCAAGGCAAGAAACCAAAACTACAATTATTTTAATGAATCAATGAACATCCTCAGAAAATGTGAAGGTGGACCATTGAGTAAGACTAGAAGGAAACACTATGGTTTCTTTCATTGAAATCACATGTATCTATCCTTGAATTAAACTAGGATTTGCATAACTTCGCTGTTGGGTGATTGGCTTTTCCAGTTATTACAGTTTATTTCCTAGCTCAACAACTTATAGATGCTTTTTATATATTATGGCAAATATTTGCTTTTTCAAGGAAAATTAACATAAGAATTTGAAACTTTCCTATCTCAGTCCTGCCATGAAAAAAATCACTTCACATCAGAATGGTCCTGTACCTGACTCTGTATCTTCCAAGTTCTACAGTGATCCTTGTGCCTCAGTTTACTTAATTGCCAGTAGTGAAATTTTCAATTAGTAATAGCATCAACATTTAAGGTCTATGTAAGGACTGTGAGGATCTAATGTATGCCCCGGAACATGAGCAATTTCCCAAATGGAAAGCATAGTAGAAAATGAGAAAAAGGTTTCATTGGGAAGAGCAGTGATGTCAAAAGACAGGAAGATGGCTGAGGACAATGCAGAAAACCTTGGATGGAGGAGATTCCTATTCTGTGGTTTTGCTTTTGCACCCAATTCACTCTGGATCCTGGGGCAGACACTGATTCTCCTGTCAGGGATGAGAGCGCTTCCTGTGCGGCTACGCTGACCTTCCTCCCTTACACTCAGCACCTGAGATTGTGAAGGCTTTGGAGGTGGGGAGGAGAAAAATCCAGAACAGGCTGAAAGTCAGTACACAACACTAGGCTTGAAAAGGATGCTTGGGTTAAGAGATGCAGGCGGGGCTGGATTCTGATCCTTAGGCAACCAGCCCCAGTGTTCTGACTGGCCACCCTCTGCCACACAGTTAAGTTCATCACCTACCTTCCATGTGTCTATAGTAAAAAGGTTCTCCAGTGACATCTCATAAACTTACCTACATTGGAGGCCAGTCTCTTGCGTGTATCCCGCTTGTGCTCTGTTAACACAGTAGTGTTCTCTTACCTCAATAATCAAGAAAACCATTGTATTCAAGATGGGTGCAGGCATACGTGCAGAAAATATAAGGATGAGATTCAAGGTCTGTCTTAGTTATTGCTCTATTGCTATGAAGAGAAACCATGGCCAAGGCAACTTAAAAAAGAAAACATTTAATTGGGTGCTTGCTTATAGTTAGAGGATGAGTCCATGACCATCATGGCAAAGATCATGGTGGCGGGAAGCCACAGTGCTGGAGCAGTATCGGGGAGCTCACATCTGATTGACGAGCAGGAGACAGAGAAAGACTGTCTTACTCACCTGATGACATACTTCTTCAAACAAGGCTACCTTCTCTTAACAAATCTATACCTCCCAATCCTTTCTAAATAGTCCACCAACTGTGAAACAAACATTCAAATATATGGGCTTATGAAGGCCATACTCATTCAAAGTCCAGCACAAAGTCTTACTGAAAACATTCACATAACAACCAGTGAATAGTCAGGATTTAAAATGCCCAGGGGATAGCTGTGAAACTGAGATAAGTTGCTATACAGAAGAAACGGGAAGGCAGAATCTCTATCAGGAGTCTGCACTGTGGTTTGAAGGCCATCATTGCAGATAAGTATGGCGAGTGTTGGACTAGACATAGCACTCTGCTGGCTACATTATGAAGGTCAGGCTATCTACAGAGAGCTATCCAGGGTTTTGTGGAGAATGGACTAGAACATGGTGGCCATGTGCCTCCCACTTCAAAAAGAGAAAACGAGACATTTGCAAAGAAGTTATGTGTTCTCTGAAGAAAACTGGGTTGAACCAAGGGTCTTGTTTTCCAGAGTGGCTTCCTGTAGCCCAGACTGATTTTAAGCTCCCTACATAGTCAAAGACGACCTTAAACTTCGGATTCACCTACATCTTTCTCCAGCTTCCAGGATCCTAGGCATGTGCTACCATGCCCTGCTTTATTCAGAGGTGGAAATTGATTCCAGGGCTGTTTGCTAGTGGGTAAGCGTGGGACCAATTGAGCTACATCTCCAACCCTCTTTCTTGACTGTTGTTAAGACTACGGGAGCTCTTTCTGTAGAATTTCCCAGCCCCACATAACAATTCCACAGGCCTTTAACTACACTGCTACACAAAATGCATTCATGTTCACTCCCCACTTCTCAGCAAAGTGAACACTCAAGCATTCTTAGGCATCACTCTCACAAAGGCCTAAGCATTACCTTCACCCTGTTTCACTCATGTACTGGACTCCCTTTCTGGAAGATTCTGTATCAGAGAGCCCAGTACTAATGTTCACTAAAGAGTTAACTTCAGACTCAGCACTTTCATTAGTTTGGTAGGAACCAGTGTGTCTATCTCAGCTAAGAATGTCTCTGTGACATGCTCAATAGTGCACAGTGAACTGAACTTTCCTGTACTACTCAAAGGTGAATGTGTGGCACACACACTGAAATCTATCTTTGTTGTTGTTGTTGTTGTTGGTGTTGCTATTTTATTTTTATATTAATCACAGGTTATTTACTTTGTATCCCAGCCGTAGCCCCCTCCATCATTCCCTCCCAATCCCATCCTCCTTCTCTTATCTCCTCCCTGCCCCTTTCACTGCTAGGGGAGGTCCTCCTCCCCTTCCATCTGACCCTAGTTTATCAGGTATCTCCAAGATTGGCTGCCATGTCCTCCTCTGTGGCCTGGCAAGACTGTTTCTCCCTTGGGAGAGGGGGGTAAAGGAGCCAGTCTTGAGTTCATGTCAGAGACAGTCCCTGTTCCCCTTACTAGGGAATCTAGTTGGTTACTGAGTTACCATGGGCTACATCCGAGCAGGGGTTCTAGGTTATCCATGTATGGTCCTTGGTTGGAGAAACAGTCTCATGAAAGGCCCCTGTGCCCAGATATATTTGGTCCTTTTGGAGCTCCCGTCTTCTCCAGATCATACTAACTCCCCCTTCTTTTATATGATTCCCTGCAGTATATCAAGGCAGAAATCTATTTTTCAAACTGGCAACGTGAACTGATGCAGCCTGAAAATATAGGTTCTCAAAATAGCCAGGCCCATTTACACAAGAATATGAAATTAACAGTTGCTTAAGTTAAATGCAATTTAAAAACCCTTTTAAAACATGTATACATTATTTGGAATAAATTATTTATTCATCAATATTTTGCTGTAGGACAAAATCCAGCTCCTCCATCTTTTCATTTTTATATAAAGGCACACTTTGTCTTTTTAATGTGTCTGTGCATGTGTGTGTATGCTTGCATGTTTCAGGACAGGCAGGGGTAGATACACACATGCTGTGGTGCATACATAGAGGGCAATTCTTCCCTTCCCTGGTGTGTTGGAGGGATCCAACTTAGGTGATCAGGCACACAGAACAAAAACACTTTTACCCGATGAACTGTGCCATGCACCCAAGGCACAACGTTTCATAAATGCATTCTAGAATCTTGCTCATTCTGGGATTTCGGTTGAATGACTTCACATGAGACACACAGACCATAGTATAAGGGTCAGACAGAATTCATCACACCGTGGCACAAGGCGCTGTTGAGGATGAGAGATTCAATGAACAAAGAGACCTTTGTAAATTCCATGAGAGTGAAAAACAGCCAGAGAGCATGGACGGAGCCCACTTACATTTTAGACAGGCTTTATGCTATTCCAAACTGATCTAAAATGCATAATTTTCCTGAGGAGTGGTTTTCTGTCTGGGTGATTTAGAGGCCGATTTAGGATAAAAAACAAAAAGAAAAGAAACCCCTCCCCTTCTTTCAGAGATGGTCTCATGTAGTGTAGACTAGCCTTAAACTATGCAGTGAGAATGACCTTGAAGTCCTGATATTTTGTTCCCCACCTCCTGAGTGTTTTCACCAAGGAATGAGAACACGATGCCTGGCATGAGAACCCAAATGAGAAACTCAAAGACTGTCTATAATGGAAGAGTATTTGCTATATAAAGAGCAGTTGTGATTTTTTTTTTTCAATCAGAAGGCTACATTTTCTATTTGCCAGAAGTTTCAGCCACATGAGAATTTCATAAATAGAAAAAAAGGGGTCTCGGGTGACACAGATTATTAACTCACAACAACAAGTCTTCCCAAGGGATTTGCGTGAGCTGAGCTCACGGACTCATGTTCCATCTATGATGCTAGACCTAAATTCTCAAGCAACAGCGACCAATTCCTGTTTGCTTTATCAACTGTCATGTGTGCGTATATGTGTACACATATATAATTTGACACATATGCAAAGTTATTAATATTTATTGTGTAATTTAAATATAAGGCTTATCCAACATACATTCATGTAACACTCTTCTACAAGTGAGATATAAAATGATTTTTAAAATAATCTACTTGGCAAATATTGAAATTTTTAGTTTCCAAAGCTTTAAATTAATCCATATGGTATCTATGTATGATAAATCATCATTCTGGGAGGGAAATCTTCTTGGCTAGCTGCCTTCATTCCTCATTTCTATTCTATCACACCCTTCCCCCCCCCCGGGAAATCACACACATAAATAACTAAATAGATGAAAAAAAAGTTTTATAGTAGGTAAATGCCTGCTTTCCAAGACTAAGTACCTAAGTTCAGATCCCTAGAACCCACCTAAATTGCCAGGTGTGCTTGCTCAGGCCTGTTACTCTAGAGGAGTAGACCTACACAGGGACATTTGAAGACAGCTTGATCCCTGGTGTTCATAGGCCAGCTAGCCTAGATGAACCGATTAGCTTCAATTTCAGATAAAGACCATCTTTCAAAAAAAAAAAATAGTGACTGAAGAATGATACCATATGTTGACTGACTGTTTCCCCTCATGCATGTTCATAAACATGTACACTGACATCCATATGTACATATTCCACAATAATTCCAGCTGTCACACCCATTACCCCCACACACACGCTGATAGAAACCTTTCTCATGCTTTCATGTATCCTTTCTCTTGCTCCCACACACTGTTCTACGTTCATACAAAGACATTTCCTGAGACTTTTT